GGAGGAGGAGGAGAAGGAGGAGGAGGAGGAGGAGGATGAGTAGAAGGAGGAGGAGGAGGAGAAGAGGGTGCGGCAGACGCTGTTCAAGTCTACTATCACTATAAGCTAATTGATGCACAACTCCCCCTGCTTGCTCTTACCCTGCTGTGGAGCACACGGGGGACATCGTCGGGCAGAACGGTTGAACCACCTATGATGTTCAGGAACCCCAAGATACACTGCCAGCTACCTGTTGGCAGTTAAATGAATATTACGCTTTTATTCTGCCGTGCCTAATAGACTTTGGCTCAAATATTCACATTAAATTTCGATCTGCGCCTGTAGTCATTACTCCAAACTGTTTTACTCAAAGTTAGCAGTTAATTTCCCAAGAAATTAAAAAAACCAGTCGTCAGCCACCTTTGCCCAAAGCCAGGTTTTTGGGACTACTATGTGCCGTAACCCGATTTGTGAACGCATTTCCCGCATACGATAACAAAATACCGATATTCCACAACTCCCGTATTTTCTTGCGAAGCATTCTTCTCGGTTCGAAAAACACTGTACTTACATTCTGTCCTTAGTACTAAGCAAGGCGCAAAAACTTTTGGCTGAACAACTGCGTTCTCAGCAGACACGAGAGACACATTTAATCAAAGAAAGTTTATTTTATGAGACTTCTTTGTAAGTTCATCAGGGATGTCAGACACGGCAACCTACTATTCCATCGATATTAGTCACGTGGAAAAGAGTGAATTTCATGTCAGATGCTCTTAATCCTAATCTGAAATGTCCAAATAGTTGATTTTGAGGTTTTCTAGGGGCGAACGTCTTCTACTTCGTACGCCCTACCCTGTCCGGTAGCCAATCTGATAAGCCCAAAGAATTTTGCGCGCCATAAGGCGACTGTAACTGCTGCCAACGCTTCTCCTCAAACGAGCGCATTTGGTGGAAACAGCTGGTTGGTCCCGAAGAACGAAACCCTGGGTCAAGTCATCGGGAGGAATTCACTGAGAAATGCTCGGTTTACCACCGGGAATAAGCACTTACCCTGAACTAAATTCCAGGGAGGCACCTACCCGCTCCCCCTGTCCTAACTTTAATCCTGAGGCTAAAATTACACCTCCCTGGGTTTAATGCAGGGTGGGTACGTATTTCCGTGCCCTGTCAAATGTTCCGGACTCGCGAAATATCTCGCAAACTTCGCAGCACTTACGGATCAGTTGAAACTCGCCGTTGGACAAGTACTCCGAGAGGTCGACGGGGGCGCTGTTTGAGCAGTTTTCACTTGTTCCGTCAGCACAGCGCACAATGAGGTTCACCTGGTCTCCAAAGTACGTCCAACTTCCAAACTTCAGAATGCATGTCTAGATTAGGGGGAGGGGGGGCAAGAAGTAAAAAGACACTTATCCTTTTCGCCCAAGGCCGCAGATTAGCACAGTTACTTTAATCCGGTAAATCAGCTGCTCCTTCCCCAAGTGCTGGTGGTAGTATTGCAATGATACGTCCCTAATCGAACCAGTCTAAATGCTGCTGAAAAATGTGGGCTAAGTCCTTTGCTCACGTCCGTTTGGAAGTTAGCAAATGTAAAGGTTGGAAATTCCGGCACTAATCAGTGTATTCGAAGCACACTCTGCTTACCTGCTCATCGAACGGAAACCAGAGGATGTTCATGTTGCATGTGGACTTGAAAAGCCCTGGTGGCAACCACTGCATCATGCCTGTGTGTTTAATTACGACGTTTGTGGGGTAGAGACGATCAAACTTTTCGTCCGCGCTGGAAAAAAAAACATAAAACTTCATGATATCAGCGCTCATGCTATAATGATATTGTCTTTGACTGGAACTATTGTTAAAATTCGCCTTAAAAGGAAAGCGTCTGTTTTCTATTGGCTGAGGTTCGTTGGCAGTTAGCTAGAAGTTAAAACTCTAACCCAGTGTGGGTCAAACTGCCAGCCGTTAGAGATTTCAGATTCGTCTCTTGTTTAATCCAGAATTGCAATACCTCTGCAAATTCTCCACACGATAGTGGATCTCGAGTGATGATTAAACGGGCCAGCATTGACTGCGGGACCCAGCGGGGAATGCCTGCGGGCGTGGCTGTGGTTTTATAGAAAGGCCATCGCGTCAAGACGGCGGGGGAGGGGAGTAGAGCTCGTAACTGGAGTGCCGGAATAGACATTTGCTTCGTTGGCTGTTTAGCGATCAATACTTACTTCGTTCAATGTTTCGATAGTGAGAAATGCCTAAAAAGCTAAAACCGCCGACGGAAATCATGGAATTTAAGACACCACTCAAATACGGATACATCAATGACCTTTTCCTTTAGGCATTAGTAGCTTATCTGCCCGTTCTGATTCTGCAGATCAAATATCCGCCTGGCTAGTTCTTTACGTCGCCGAGTTTGTGTAACCAGCATAAACAACCTACTCATTTGATGTTAGTAGCGATTAACTTTTCTGCTCCTAGTATGGTTTTTCTCGCGGTAAGTGGGACTGGCGCGTTTAGAGGTGATTTGGAAGGCGTGAAATATTGAAGATACAAAACGCAACTTTACTGAAGCTACAAGGAAAGAGGCCTACAGCTTTAACTGTATTGATCCAATCGAATTCACCTTTAAGTAATTCCCGGTCTTCTAAAAGACTCGATGCATCATGCTCTGCTCCACTTACCAGTTGTAAAGGAGAACGTCCGGCCGCCATACTGTGTTATAGGGTAAGTTGAGGGAAGTAATATTCCCGAAACTTGCTGGATTCCACCTGAAGTGATAGTCCTCCCAGTTCTAAAGGTAGAGAATCCATTTAAAAGCCTTTGTGGATTTGAGCACGCTAACACGCATAATTGACAAGCCTCGTCTGCTGAGTTGGGAAGTCGATGCTCCATTCATATTTTTTTATATAGTTAAGGTCATATCAGCGCTCTATAGTGTACACGATTGTCAAAATCAATGCTCAAGTGAAAGAATGAAACCAAAGGAGCCTTATGAGCGTAAAGCGATGAGTAAAAATTAGGTCTCTATATCAGGACTCTATATACATGACTATCTGCGGCCAGCCATAAATTTCATTTCTTGATTTCATCCCTTCTTAACATATCCCTGACTTTTAATGAAATTTTCCCTCTCAAACTATACAAATGACTGCACTTTATGCTGATTATATATAACTGCACTTAAAATTTCATATGTACACTGAAAAGACCTCCCGACACACCCTTCGCAGTCCCGCACTGTGCAAACTTTTTCCGTGAACAAGCATGTTACTGACAAAAAATTAGTAAAATGTACATGTAAAATTTATATTTTATGTACCGTTTTCAATAGTGTCATCAGGGCACAGCCTATTACCCTAAAATACACCATTATTATTATCATTGAAATTATAACAACCAACAGTGACGGGGGTTGTAGCCGAGACATGGTGACCGACTTTAAGGAGTCGCTGACAACTCTCGAAAGACTGACTGCTGGTCGGAGGAGTTAAACATGCTAGAAGTTTGATTACTCCGAAATAAAAAAGTTATTTCTTCCGATAAAGTTACACCTTCAAGGAGTCTACCTCGACTGTCGTCAGTGTTGGCAGTTTGGCGGGACAAGCTATGCTGGCCGAACGACTGGGCACTTAGCCAAGCGGATGTGAAACCACCATCCTGCCTGGCTAACTGGAATGCTCGCAGAGGGCATTTGCTCAAGCCCCCCATCTACCCTGGCCCAATTTGAGTACTACATGTTCGTGCCCGCAGCCTACCACAGGGCGCCACATCGACGAAATACAATCACAACCAGCTGGCACTCTCTCCCTGCTCCCTTGATAGAACTGGACCATAATGCTTCCCCCTCTTACTCGAGCATGCCTAGACAACCTTGACTTTCCCTTCTCTCCGCACTGCTGATTATTGGTTGTTTTTTAACCTTCGTCGCTCCACCTAGAAACAGTGTATTGTACTGACCTACATTTCTCGACTTTCACTTCTAGGATATTTCAAATCGCCATTCAAGGGCTGGTGTTTAAGGGTTAATGTAGAATGCTGAAACAGGAGCGGCTCAATTTGTGGCTCAATTTCGAGCTTTCCTACGGCTTACTTATCCGTCCGCATAAACGAGAACTGACACTTATATCCTCGCAAATGACGGCGTCTACAGTTTCCCCACCGAGTGCGCCCAGTAAAGGATTGCGCGTGAACTCTGCTTTGATGGTGCGTACTTGCTCTGGGGCTACCTCACTCACTTTGCCTTGTTCTTGCTGAAAGACTTAGTCAAGACGGCAGTGGGTGGGCTCGAATGCACCGATCGACAAATCTAAGCAACCTGTCTACATATTGCCCGCTCCGTGCATATCCGACTGTAGTGCGGGAGCCGAGATCTCAGATGTGAGTGTCACATGGGGCGCACTGCGAAGGCGGCCTTGCAACTTGACCCTAAGTTCTGTGAAGTGCTGAGTTGTTTACGGTAGGAGCATCGGTTTAGGTTTCAAATAATACTGGAGTCTATAAAGTAGTTGGAATAGAGACATGCCCCTCCTGCGATTACGAAATTCGGATAATATTTTTGTTAGACGAGTTGGTCAGTTGTGTTTTTTAGCATATTTTTTCCTTTCAAGTCTCGAAAATCTGGCGAAACACATGTTACCAAACTTTCATTTAGGGGCTCTATTAGATCTGTGGTAAATCCACTTCTATGCG